GTGGGCGGCAGCCCCGCTGCGCCTCGTTCCTCGCATTCCTGGGCAGGGCTGCCGGGTGGCGGGGTCGTGTCAGCGGGGGCCGGGCGGCAGGAATGCAAACACCGGTGGGGGGGGAGAAGAAAGGCCACTGTGTCTGCCGCAGCAAGGCGAAGCCCGGAACAGGGGTGCGCAGGACCCCCCGCTTTTCCCACCCGTCCCTGCACCAGGGGATGTGGGGGTCCCTGGGGACGGAGGTGGCAGTGGTCCTGGGGTTTGCTGCGGTCCTGTGCGGGATGCTCTTGCACCCCTGGGTCAGGAGCTCGGCTTCCCTAGGGAGGGGTCTGCTGCCTGGGGCAGGGTCTTCCCCCTTCTCCTTGAACCCGGGGCATGTTTGAGCCAAACTTGAGAGGGGGACAGAAGCTGAAAACAGTGTTACATTCCTGCAGTCCTCGTAAAACTGCTTTTCTGGGATGAGAGAGTGCCATACAGCCTGGGTTGGTGTCTCCTGTGGATGGGAGGAGCGGTGTCGGGTGAGCACAAGACCATATTAGACATTGGAGAATCCGCTAGGGCAGGGAAATACAACCATGGGCACCCCAGTTTTCTCCCTTCTTCAGCCGAAGGAGCATTCGTAGCCTGCAAACCTCCTGGTGCCGACAGTAGAGGAGGGGTGGGCATGGACCCTACCTGTCTGTGGGACCACCGTGTCCCATGGAGGGGGGAGCTGCACATCTCCCCCCATCACCGGCCTCGGGAGCTGGGGCTGGGTGGGGGCCAGGGGCCCTTGGTTGAGCATCTCGGGGGGAAGAGTGCGGCAGTGTGCGGGGCACGGTGCGGGATGCAGGGCGGCCCTCGCCGGCCCCTTCCGTGGCGGCTCGCTGCCGGAGAACATTCCAGGGAGGCTGGCGCGGGGCCAGCGCCGCGGGGCAGGGAAAGGGGCCTTTTATGGAAGCGTTTCTGCATTAGAATAAAATCATAATAATAATGCGCAGGGGAAGGGAGCGGGAGGAGGAGGAACCCCCGAAGAAAACAGGGAGGCGGGATGGGAACGGGCTGGTGGCCGAGGAGGGGGCAGGTGCTGGGCATCACCCTGCGGGGACCGGGCTGGAGTGGGATCCGGGTGCTCCGATTGGGGTGCTTGGTGCAAATCCTGCTTTTTATGGCCCAGGGCAGGGGAGGCTGAGCGGGGTGCAGGGGGTGCCTGTGCTGCCATGGTGGGGGACCAGCCCCTGAGTGGTGGTTGGCACGGTGGCTAGATGCTGGGACAGGGCAGGGGATGGCTGGCTAGGGGTCATGGCTCCTGGGGACACACGGCGTGGTTTGGAGGAGATGAAGTGCCCCAAATCACACCCTCCCGCTACTGCTGGCATCTCCAGGCCAACGCGGGGCTGGAGCAGCTGTTCCCACTGCCCCCGGCACCGACAAACAAGGCGCTGCCTCTCCCACCCTGGCCTGCCGCTGCTTCCCCGCAGACTGGGGTGCACGCAAAACCCAAGGTTAATTGTCAGTAATTGCCGCTGGTAATTAAGGTAACAATAGCCGGGCTGTTCAGCTGGCGGCTGCAGGAGCGCTCACGAGGCTGGGCTGGGGTTTGTTCCAGGAGCTGCTCTTGGCATCAGGCAGCCGCCCCACGCCGTGCCGTGCCCCGCCGTGCCCACCCGGGGCTGGGGCTGCTCGGGCTCCCTGGCCGAGGACCAATAGCACCGCCACCGTGGCTCCGAGCCCGCTCCCGTTACCAGGGAGCCCAGCCTTGACCTCGGGATGCTGCCTGTGCTCCTGCCCGGGGCGGCAGGGCCATGGGCCATGGGTGCCCCTGTCACTCCCTTGGGCAGGTGCTCGGTTTGCTCGGGGCCAGGGGTAGATGCTGCAGCCTGGCCGCTTCCCATGCCCCATGCTGGGCTGGGGGCTGCAGGAACTAATCCTGGCCCTCTTTCTGCTTCCTTGCAGGCTGTGACCCCCTGCTCCCCCGCTGTCAACTATGAGCTGGTAAGTGAGACCCCTGTGAGCCGTGGGTGGCAGGCAGGGCTCTGGGGACGCTGGGTAGGACGGGACACCCTGTTTTGCACTGAGCGTGGGGCTTTCTCTGCCTGGGGGCTTCAGGGTGTGAGTCCCCCCGCCTCCAAAACCATAAGGGTCCTGCCCCTATTTTGGTGCTGTGCGCTCCAGCATTGCTGGCTGCAGGGCATCCCATGTCTGAGCAGCACGAGTTGGGACAGCCCAGCCATCACAGGATTCCTGGCGCTGGAGCTTTTGGGGAAGAGGGGCTTGTGGGGTTGCTGGGAGGGACAGGCAGATGGGACGTGACCAGCCTGGGCTCTGGGGTCCCCCAGCGCTGAGGGCCTCCCCTCCCTGGCCAGAACCGGGGTGGTTTCTTGCACGCCCGGAGATGGCTCTACCAGATGTGCCTTTGGCTCGGAGCACCCAAGGCTGCGCATTTGCAACCCTTGTTATTGTCACCCCCCTCTTTTGTCCCTCCTGGGGACCTTTAATGAGCAGCCGGGGCCAGGGCGACGCACAGCCCTTCCCACCCTGTCCTCTCTGGACACCGGGAAAACAGCTGGGCGCCCCATCTCCGTTCACCCCGTCCTGGGGAGGACAGGCATGGGGGCTCTGGGCGGGCAGCTGTGCTCCCTTGCCATGCTGCTCCAGGCTATGGCAGAGCTCCGGGTATGGCAGGGCACCGGGATGGTGCCGGGAGCAGGACCATTCCCAGGGCAGAGGTTTGGGAAGCATGGCACGGCAGTGCCCACCAGGCAGCATCTTGCCGGCAGAGCAGCCCCCCTGCCCCATCCCCAGCCCAGTTGTGCCCGTGGTGGCGGGCAGAGTGGGCACGTGGCGGCAGGGAGGCTGGCATTGCCCGGGGCCGGGGCCGGCGCGGCCGCCCTTCCTTCTTGCTCCGGACGTGTGCCAAGGCTTGCTGGGGCAGGCGCCGGGGAGAGGAGGCCCTGGCAAGGTTTCAGCTCCAGGCTCGGCAGCCTGGCAGTGCCGGCTGCGGGGAGCCCTGGGCTGGGTACCCCGTAGCCGGGCAGGGGTCTCACCCAAAAAGTGGGTTTAGGGGATGACCCCCTGTGAGCTCATGAGGGCAGCGCATGAGCCCAAGTGAGTGAGGGGATGGGGTGGGAGCAGAGCGTGCTGCCTGCCCCGGGGCCCCACGGTGGTTATCTGCCCCAGGTTTAATCTCTGCCTGCACCCCCCCGCCCCTGCCAGCCTCCTTGGGCACTTATCACCAGCAAAAACATGTTGGCTTCGAGCTGGGACCGTTACTGTGGCTTCGGGAGGAAATCGAAAGGGGTTTGCCCTGTCCCGTGGCTGGAAATGACAGCCCCAGCCCTGCTGCCAGGACCAGAGCAACCTGGTCTCGGGGGTCCCCTCCGTCCCCCTGGTCCCAGGACCCCTGTAAGCCACCCAGCTGGGTCCCTTTGCTGTGCCACCCCCAGGCACCCCAACCAGCTGTCCCCATGCAGAAGTAGCTGTCCCCTGCTCCCTATATTTGGGGTCTGGACACTCTCCCCCACTCCGGGAAGTTAATTCCCGTCCCCAGCCCCATTTCAAGGCTCTCTGCGGACTTCAGTGGCGTGTCACCAAATTTTCCCCTTTTTTGAGCATCTCAGACCCCGGCTCTGCTTCCACCGGGGTCCTTTGCCAGCCCCGCGGGGCCAGGTTTATCTCGGGGAGCTGGGCCTGCCGGCGGCTGGCGGCCAGGCTGGGTGTGGGGCCGTGCCGGGCTCGCCCCGTTGTTTACCTCCTGGCTGTGGGGTCTGACCATGGAGGATCTGGGTGGGATCCTGGTGGTGTGAGGGGCACCGGGTGCCCGCCGTGGAGCGGGCGCAGGGTTCGGCTGAGCGCTCTCCATCCGTGACAGTGGTCCAGCAGAGGTGGCGGCTGCCGGGAGGCAGGACGGCAGCGCCCTTGGTATCCGAGCATCGCCCCAGCTCCGTGCTTGGGTTTCGAGGGATTCCCGACCTTTAGGAAGAGCGGACATGTTGGTGGGCAGGGAAGGAAACGGGGCCGTGGTGCATTTCCTAGGAAGGGCCAGAAATAGCCAGGGGGGAACTTTTGACCCTGGCCCCCGCTCTGTGTGCACGTCTCTCTCTCAATCTCTCTCTCCTTCTCTCTTGCTTGCCTTTTTCTCAACCTCCCTTCCTCCTGCCTGCCTGCCTGCAGCCATCCCCAGGGGAGAGCATCACGAAGCAGGTAGACACCCTGGTAAGTGCTATGAGTTGTGGAGGCTGATCTCTGCCTCAAGACCTCCCAGGGGGTCACTTGTGCTGTCCTGTTGCCGCAAGCACCCCCCGCAGCCAAAATCACTCAGCCTGGGATGCCACTGTGGTCCCCCAACATCCCTGGGTCCCCCCAGCTCTCCCTCCCTGCCAGCCAAGGTGATGATGGCCATGCCAAAGGCCAAGTGAGATGCCCAGGGCTGGTGGCAGAGGCAGTCGGAGCCCAGCTGAGGGGGGGCCGGGGCTTTTGCCGCAAAGCCAGCTTTCCTGTCTCGGAGCCGGGGATATGTTATTTAATCTGTGGACATGAAATTGCTAAGACAGTGTAGACAAACGCACTGCCAAAGTCAACGCGGACGGCTTCCCCCCTCCTGCAGCCAGCTCGCCGGCCTCCCTGCACGCCGGGGCTGGGACCTGAGGGATGGAGGCAGAGTGGTTCCCACAAGGAAGAGTGTGAAAGCCTTCCTCACCTGCGAGCCAGCTTTGCCTCATCCCTTTGGTTGTCCAGGACGTTTCCAACTCCTCTCTGAACTGGAGAAAGAGCATCCACAGCTTGAAAAATCCAGCAGGACAGTCAGAAGCCCTCTTTGCTGGCTTCACTCTCTTTTGGGGAAGTTCCCTGGTATTTCTGCAGCCTTTCTCGTGCCTTGCATCACCCTTTCCAAGCAGAAGGGACCTGTGGGTTTCGGATGTTGCTCAGAGCCTGGGGACATGCCGAGCCAGCCTGGGGCTGGGAGGCGGATGCTTGATGGGGCTGGCAGGGGGGTCTTCAACCCAACGTGGCTGAGACCAGCCTGTCCTGTGCTGGGCCGGACTGGGACGTACTGGCTTGGCCGGGGTCTCTGCTCCAGAGGGGACCTTTGCAGGGTCTCCCAGCCTGGTGGTGGGCAGGAATGTTTAATAACGTGAGTGTTTGCTCCTATCAGCTGATCACGGGCTAACTGTTCCTCGTGCAGGGGCTGGCGGCAGAGGCGGCAGCACGGCTGCGGTTAGATCAGGGGGGGAGCGGGGCAGAGCCAGGGGGCTCCTGTCAGGGCAGGGGACACTGGAGGGCCCTGGCCGTGGAGACCCGCTCCCCCGGGCTGGGAGGGTGCCGGCAGCGGAGCCACCATGCCATGGAAATGGATTAGCAAGGGTCTCGCCGCCATCAAGGTATGGAGAGGGAGAGGGGCTCTGGTGTCTCTGCCTTGCTCACCCTCTTATGCCTCAGTTTCCCCATGTGGGAGAGGGGGGCGAGTCCTGGTTGCCCCATGTCAGCTCCTCCGTCGGGCAAGCCTGCAGTTTGGGAGGCTGCTGGGGCTCCCCTGGCTGGCGGGTGCGGGTGGGGGACCCCAGACGTCTCCTGCTATGAAGGTTTGGAGCAAAGCAGAGCCCGTGGTGGGGATCCCATCCCGGTCACTGGTGGGTGACACAGGGACGAGCCCACGCTCAGGTTCAAGCTTGCTGCACGCACCCTGGCTCTGCCCAGGAAAGGTTTTACCTTTCTTTTTGCTGCATTTTAACTCCTTCTTTGCCCCCAGTGATGCTGGGGGGTTTCTGGGGTGAGCAGGAGATTTGGGGCACTCTGGGGACAACCTGGATGGCGATTGTCACTGCTGCCTGCACACCCCCGGGTGCTTGGACAGGGCTGCCACCTCTCGGAATGGCTTCGGCTGGGAGGGGAGACCGTTGTCCCGGGACCCTGCAGGCTGCCGAGCCCGGCTCTGCTCCGTCAGGCAGCCTGACCTTGAAAGGGGGACGCAAGGCCAATGGAGGGTGACGCCGGCTGCCCGTGGGAGCAGCCCCGGGACCCCACCGGGTGGGAGATGGCAGGCGAAGGGCACTGGGGAAACCTCTCCCACCTCGTCCCGTCACCTCTGGTGTGCTGGTTGCAGGATGCCACAGTCCCAAGGAGGGTGGCAGCAGGTCCCACAGCTCTGGGGACAAAAAGGACATCCCGGGATCCATCTGTGGGGCGCATCTCTTGTTTCTGGATCCTTCTGGGGGCTCGAGATGTGCTGCCTGTGTGAGATGAGTCTTTAAATGACTCCTGCTTGTTAGCTGGAGATACTAAAACTAATGAGGTGTGAGTGTGTTTTTCCTTAGCGGTTTTTTTTGGAAACCCTGCTTTGTTTTTCGGCTGAGGTCACGAAGTCACCAAGCAAACCGGCTGCAGATGAAATTCTTGAGGCCGGAGAACATGCATAAATAGAAGTTTCCTGCTCTGAGAGCTCAAACATTTCCTCCCGGCGTTTGGCTCTGCAGAGCCAGGGCCAAAGCAAACCGTCGTGCCTGGCTGGCTCCTTGCCGCCGCTCGGGCAGCGAACCTGCCCCTGCCCCGGGCAGGGCCAAAGCCACTCTGTCGTGCCAGGTGTGTGCTCAGAGCCTGGCTGAGAGCAGAGGGACTCATGACATGTGTGAGACTGTCCCCCTACCCAGAGCATCCTCCTCAAAGGTCCTCTGGGACACTGTGCCAAGGCACCGGCCCTGCAGTCTCGTCCCAGCTGTGCTGGGGTTGCAAGAGCTGGATTTTGCTCGTGGCCATGGTGGGGGGACGATGGTGCCGCTGGGGCGTTTGGTGCCACCAGGATGCTCAGCGGGTGTGATCTGGAGACAGTGGTATTTTGGGGGCGTTATGGTGCGCAGCGTGGCAGGGGTGGGATGCTCTGGCAGCACCATCACACCCGGCTCTAGCAGGACCCCTGTGCTGGGTCTGGGCAATAACTCAAATTTCCTCTTTGGTTCTTTAGGATGCCACAAAATCCCCCAGGAGCGGGCAGTCACACCGCAAAACGTCCAGGTAGATGCTTCAGTTTCCCCTTTTGGTGACCATCTCTGCCCTGCCTGAAGCTCCCCCTCCCAACACTTTGCTTCTGCAGATGCGCTACAGCTGGGAGATGCTCCCTATGGAGAAGACATGGGGGTGATGACCCACTATCCCCAACTTGGGGTTCCCAAGACACCCCAACGGGGCTGGGAGCAGGGGAAAGGCTGCAGGCAGCCCTGCCGCTGCATCCCCATGTGTCCCAGCCCGTCTTGCTTAACCCCAGGGGCCGTGCAGGGTGGGGAAGGGTCACAGTGTCCCCTCCCCACGCCATGTCCTGACGGTGGTCCCCTCCCTTGCCCAGGAGCATGAGCCTGACCGCGGCCATGGAGAGCAGCTGCGAGCTGGACCTGGTGTACATCACGGAGCGGATCATTGCCGTCTCCTACCCCAGCACGGCCGAGGAACAGAGCTTCTGCAGCAACCTCCGTGAGGTGGCCCACATGCTGAAGTCCAAGCATGGGGACAACTACGTGGTGAGGGACACAGCCGGGTTGTCTCCAGGCTGGGGAAGGGGCTGGGGTGCTCAGGTCCTGGGGATGGGGTGCTGCAGGGCATGGGTGCTGCATCCTTGCCTCTGGCTGGGCTCGACTCTGGTGAGGGGGGTCTTTGCACCAAAACAGATGGATTTTTTCCTTCATTGAAGCTTTCCAGTCCCTTTTGGAGCCCCTGAGAGTTTTTGGCCATTGTGTTGCCCTGTGGCAAGGTGTGACTCAGGTTAATGTGTTTGGGGAAGCCTCTCATGGGGGCGGGACTTGGGGAGGCTTTGAAGTGAGGAAGAAGTGGGGGGTGGCAGCGAGGGAGGAAGGTGTCCCCTCACTCTGTCTTTCCTCTTCCCTGAAGCTTTTCAACCTCTCCGAGCGGAGACATGACATCAGCAAACTTCACCCCAAGGTGGGTCGCAGCTGTGGGGAGCAGAGGGGCTCGGGGCAGGGCTGTCTGCTGGACCAGCTCCCCACTGCACGCTGTTTGGGGGAGGAACAGCCACCCTTTCTATCCCACTCAGCTGGTGGAGGAGCAGGGGAGGGAAAGCACCGGGATTTCCCAAGGAGTTTGTGGGGCCTCTCTCTTAACGCCCCCCCATCCCCAGCCCAAACCTGGCTGTTGGGGCCTCTTGGAGACCACCCTAAGGCATCATCCCCATCCCTGTGAACATGGGGGAGCCCTGGGCAGCTGAGCCCAGTGACCCAGAGTGGGGCTGAGATCTGGGACTGCGATGGCCCCCCCGGGGTAGGGGTCTGGGCAGTGGGGTGCAGGGTTGGGGGAAAGGCTGGTAGGGGCACGTCAGGGCAATGCAGTGGTGCCCCCCCCGGATACGTGCCTTGGGCTTTGCACACTGGCAGGCTGGGGACTGCAGAGGGGGCAGAGCCCGTCGTGGATGTGACCCCTGGCTGTCCCCACTGCCACCCAGGTGCTGGATTTCGGGTGGCCTGACCTGCACACCCCGGCGCTGGAGAAGATCTGCAGCATTTGCAAAGCCATGGACACATGGCTCAACGCGGCAGCGCACAACGTGGTGGTGCTGCACAACAAGGTAGGCCGGTCCCTGTCCCTGGGGCGCACAGTGATGGGGATCTGGGAGGGCCGGGGGGCTGCAGGGATAGGGCTGAGCAGCCTCAGAGGCTGAGGGGTGCAGGGAACGTGGTGGCTTGTGGCTTGGTGTGTGTGTAGGTGTTGGCATATGTGTGCACTGGTGTGTGTCTATAAGGGTTGGGGTGTGTGTGCGGGTTGGTGCATGTGTGTAGGGACCAGTGTGTGCGTGCCCGCGTGTGCGGGACGGCCATGCCTGGGTGCTCGCAGGCACCACCGCCCCCGTGACACCCCTTCTGCTGTGTGCCCGCAGGGGAACCGCGGCCGGCTGGGGGTGGTGGTGGCTGCCTACATGCACTACAGCAACATCTCGGCCAGGTGAGAGGGACACGTGGTCCCGGGGTGGCCCTGGGGCCCACTGCCGACCTCCATCCCGGCGGCGCTGGGGTGCTGGTGCCGATGCTTTCCTTCAACCTCATCTACCCTTTCATCCCCGCAGCGCTGACCAGGCTCTGGACAGGTTTGCCATGAAGCGCTTCTATGAGGACAAGGTAGTGCCAGTGGGACAGCCATCCCAGAAGAGGTGGGTCCTGGTGTGCGTTTTGCCCCCATGGCCAGGGTGGTTGGGTGCAGGGCGGCCAAGGTGGGTGCTCTGCTCTGGGTCCTGCCCCTGAGCTGCCTGTCCCCCCTCTAGGTACATCCATTACTTCAGCGGGCTCCTGTCTGGCAGCATCAAGATGAACAACAAGCCTCTCTTCCTCCACCACGTCATCATGCACGGCATCCCCAACTTCGAGTCGAAAGGCGGTAGGTGCCCCCCCAC